CCCGTCGCGTTCAGTGGAAGAGCTCCACCAACAGCACCATCAAGAGAAGCTGCAGCCAAGAGCCGAACGTCATGGTGGCCTGGCCTTTCTGGGACATGAACCTGAGCTGGTTGACCAACCGCTCCTTTACCAGAGCCTGCTTGAAGCCGTCCTCCTCCGAGATGCAGACGTAGTGGCCGTAGTGAAGGTGGCTGACGTTCTGGATGAAGTGCAAGCAGGCCTGCTGGGGGTGGGTGGTGTTGCAGGTCTTGATGAGGCTGTTGTTGTGGTACCAGTTGTAGGTGGCATAGTGGGACTCGATGGGACAGTTGAGGTAGTAGCGGGAGAAAGGGACGACTGTGATGTTCTGATAGTCATCTACGGGAAGAGATTGAGAAGCGCGGGGGATGAGACAGGCACGTGCAGGCACCACGGAATTCCCCCCCGAGTCTGGAGGGAAGCACAGTTGGGTCGATGGGGACATGTTACACAGCCATTTAACGACAACGGTGGGGCCTGACCCACACCTGGTGAAGTCCATGGGACTCTTCTCCCAGGACATCAGCAAAGACCGAGTTTAAGCCCTCTCACCCGGCTCAAATTCATTAATCTAGCAATTAACTCCCAAGCCGAGACTTGCACGGGGTGTTGGTTTCAGCACGATCGTTTCCCAGCTCCCGGACAACGAGTTGCAACACCCGGCAGAGCCCACACGAAGACCTGAGGATCAGGTCCCCCATGCCCCAAACAACCCCTGGATAAACGGCCAAGCAGCTCAAAACCTTTACATACCTTCCTTAATATCCCCTTTTTGGCACCTTCCTCGCCACGGGTCCAGGTTCAGGTTCTGATGTACCTCCCTAGCAGATGGGAACAAGCGTTAACGAAGCACTTATGCAATGTCAGGGAAGCAGCGCTTCCATGGATCAGATCAGATAAGGAAGAAAGTTTAAACGCCTGCTATTACTTGGGCAGGGAAAAAAAAAAAACAAAAACAACAACACACCCCACACCCTCACTTCGGAGGTCGACGGATGACAAACATGAGACCCAGCAGCTCAGCACAATCAACTGTTTTAAACAGCAGCACAACCCGCATTTCTAACAGCAAAAAGAGAGGCTGGGTGCTCAAAACCCGTTGACCTGACCCTGAAGAGGTTTTGGGGACAGCGCAGACATCTGCGCTGTTACCGCCTGAACACAACGGGCTCAACCTCCCCCTCTCCGCGATGGGAAGACGGCCTCAAAACCATGCGAGGTCCTGGCCAGGAAGGGGAACAGCGAGGGCCGGGGTATTTCTCACGTGAAGGCAACCAGCCGAAGGGGATGGAGAAACAACAAGCTGTCGGCGCCACGTACCGGTTTAGATAAACCGACTGACAGCTCCCGTTGGACCAGCCGCAGTACGGGTCCCTGGCCAGCAAGCAGCTGTCGCAGTTGTTGCGATACACCCTGCACATGTCCATGGGTATCTCCATGACTTTATCTGTTGAGCCGACGTAGAGCATCGCCTGCAGGAGGAAAGCAGAGGGGCTGATCGGCCCGCCACCATGTCCCGGTGCCACCTTAGGAACATCTAACACTTCTCCTGCGGCTTCGCTCTCTAGCACTTCTGCAGCTTCACTGCGCTACTGGGGTAGATTTCACCCAGGGAGCAAACAGCCACGTTCTTCCCTCGCCTCCAGGAGAGGAGGTGTCAGAAAAGCTCCCTTGCCCACTGGTCCGAAGAGACAGAGAGTTACTCAGGACCGGGGACATCAGCCCGGCTGTTAGGATTTAGCAAAACACGCTGCGGGACCACCCACAAACCCACCCAGAGGCTGCTGCCAGATCCAGGGGTTGTCATTAAACCATCGGTCCCTGCCTCCCCTGCTGCCTGCTTTTAAAGCTGCAGCCCGACCCGCTGTTTTCCTTTCTACGGAGCAGGCAGAGACCCACCCTCTTGTGGTCCAGGATCATGGACTGGATGGGGTCCTTCTTTGGGAAAACCTGGAGCTCCATGATGTTCTGCACCCCATCGGGCAGCTCCACGATCTTGTGGATGGATCCCTTGTCTGGGAAGAAAGAGGGGAGAGCGGTGATGAGAGCAGAAAGGCGAGGCAGAGGAGACGCAGGCAGGGGGGGGGAAGCCAGGCAGAGAAGCAGCTCTGCCGCCAGCCCTCGCTGTGGCAGACAATACCCGCTCCGCAGAGCCAACATCGACTGGATTCCTGAAACCGGCCACCCAGAGAAGACAGGACCTTTTCTCAGAAGGACCGTGCTTGCTCTGCGAGGATATCATCCCCCAGGCAGCAGCGTTTCCCACGGTGGAGCCTTGTCATCCTCCCAGCCGAGAGCCCCGAGGAACCCGTTCCCCATCGCCCTTGGGGACCTGGCTGTGCCCGCTTTGATCAGCTGCGCCGTAAAGGTCTCAGCAAGAAAAACCCCACCGCTCTGGAGCTCCGCTCCGCTTTGATCGCTGGCCTGTTCTTGCGGGAGCCTCATCTCACCGCTCGCCTGAGGCTGAAACTTGGGTGGTTGGTTGGTTGTTTTTTTTTTTCCCCCTTTCCGTTTTCCTAATTGAACCAATTCCCCTCCCCAGTCAAATGACTCCAAACTGGTGATTTAAGAAAATGAGTCAGTTTGGCGGAGGGGTGGAAAGACAGATCCTGAGGGAACGGGGCTCAGGAATCCTCATTGTTTACCCTCTTTTAGTACGTGCACGGTTTCCCCTTCCCAAATAGTCGCTCCTTTCTCCACCATCAACCAGGGGGAGGTGAAAGATGTGACCCCCAGGTCAGGCAGGGATTAGGGACCCCCCAGGTGCTGGCCTTAACCTCCATGCCCGCCTTCAGCGAGGGTGGGCAGCTGCCCTGCCAAGCCCTGCACCTTGGAGCAACCTCCCTGGCGGGACTCCGCGAGGCATTAGCCGCATTTAAGATAAGATTTTCAGCAAGCGCAATCTCAGCACGCGTGGGCCCTAATCCAACCCAGGCCACCTACGGAGAACCGTGTGCGGTTTGTTGGTTGGTTTTGGTTTGTTTGTTTTGTTTTTTTTTTTTTTTTACATCGCAGATTAGGAAACAAGAGCCACAGAAAGTCCCTCCGCAAGAGGGAGGTGGGCAAGAGAGGGATGCGCTGGGCTAGGGACCTCTGCGCCCGCCGGGTAGGGAGTATGGGAACCCTGGCAGCTCACCAGGCTGAGCTCACCAACTTTTTGCTCTGCCATCCCATCCACCTGCAGCTGAATCGTCTCGGTCCTGCTCTCGCAGCATCTCCGGCTGCCCCAGGACCGCCGGCAGCTGTGATCAGCTGGCTGTGACTCCAGCCAGATGTGCCGGCCTCGCAGGAAGTCTGCGCTGCTGCGCTAGAGCAAGCAGGGACAGGAGATGACAGAGCAGGTCCCTTTGCAAAGGATTTCTGCTTGACAGTGTAAAGCTGCACCTGGGGAGAGCTGTGCTACCCCTCGCTGGCCCTAAAAACACTTGGCTTGAGACCTACAGCAGCCTGAAACAGCCCAACTCAGTAAATTCCTTGTGCTGGGAGTCTGCTTTCAGCCCATCTTTGCCCATGCAGCCAAATTGGATGCGTTTAGCTGTACCGGGACTTGGCAGCTCTTTTCAGCTTGACAAACATATGCCAAGCTGGGAACGCAGCCCCTCGCTTCGCTCTGCACCGGGGGTTCTCGTCTGCTTCCCTTGGGTTCCCTGCCCTCAAAGGGAAAGCAAACTCTGGGGAACTCCAAAGGGAATGGTTCCCAGTACCTGTTGCCAGATAAAGCACGTTGTAGCGGCGCCCATCAGCCGCAGAGACCTCGTGCACCCCAATCTTCTGGTAGCGGTGCTTGTTGTGGAATAAGGGGCTCTTGGTGGGGGAGAGGGGCTCCACCCGGTCCTCCACCTCCGGGTGGCTGTCGGCTATCTTGAAGGTCTCGCTTGGGGTGTGCTGTCCAGAGGAAACACACTGCGGCAAGAGGGGACAAAAGCCACCGTGAGAGTCAGACAGGTCCCCTGAGGGTGATGCTCAAGGCAGGGCAGAGCGCGGATGCCTCAGCCCAGAGGAGGATGCCCAGGCACGAACCTGCCCCGGGGGGAAACACAAGCCCTGGGGCTGCTGTGACTGTGCCTGCGACAGGTCTTACCAGCGATCTGCCCTGCAGAAGTCGCGGTTTAGGAGACTCACGCCCTGTTATCCCCTCAGAGGCTCAGGAGAGCCTCTCCCCACCCTGCCGTTTGCTGCCAGGTCAGTGGTGCACCCGTAACAGCAGGACTGGGCTGCAGGTTGCCTCGGTGAAACCCACGGGGTTCGCAAACACGAGGCAAGACATTGTCCTCCGGCTCCACACTCGAGCGCTCACAGATCTGTTTGCCGAGGCACGTAAGAGCACGTCTCCCCTCGCTCCCTATGAAGGCGTTGGACCTTATCCAGCCTCCTTTTGTTTCCAGCAGCAAAGCTCAGATCCTTCCCGCACTGCCCGCAACCTTCCTCACCGTCCCAGCTCCCACCCGGCCGCTCAGTGGTGGGACCGTCCCCTCACCCGATCCAGCTACTCTGACAACTGCGGTGGCAGAGCAGGGACCAGCTCTCCTGGCCTCGGGACACCTCTCCACTTCACGTGGGCACCTTTTACCACTCACTCACCTGCCCAGGCTTGATCTCTGGGTTGGGACCATTATAGCCTTTGAGTTTGGACGTCCGAAACACGTTGTCAATGTCCCCAAAGGAATAGACACAAACAGCAGAGCTTCCCCTGCAGGCAACGAGACAGAGAGAGAGTCAGGATGACATTGGCCATCACCCCTACAGCCGGGGCACGGCTGTGTGCATCGTGCCTTCGCTGACCGTGTCCGCTCTGGCTGTTTCCCACCCAAGTGCCTGCCGGAGAGACTAAAGGGCCGAAAGAAAGGATTTGGCCCATGGGACAGAACGTCTCCCCGTTTGGCAAAGCTCCTCACCAGGTGTTTGTGAAGAGCCCGTAGACTTTGGAGTGCCGCCAGTTACTCGCCGGGACAAAGAAGACATCTTGCAACCAGTTGAAGTTGCCCTTGGTGACTGGGTCAACACAAATTAAGCTGGCCTTCAGGAAGGTGGTCCACTTGGAAGCAGAGAGCGAACCGGTTCCCCCTTTATCTTCCTGGGGGAGAGGGAAAGCAGGGAGTCAGGCTTTGGCAGAGAAGAACACAAAGTCCCACCTTGTCCAGCATCTTGAATGGATAACCGGGGGATGCTTTGGAGGTACAATTGATGCTGGTCACTGCAACAACCATGTACCTCTCTAACATCTCAGCAAGAGACAGAACAGGGCTTTCTCTACCCTTTGGGAGAGCCAAAGGACATGGCCTTACCCCACACGAACTCTGTGGCAGAGGAAAGAATTGAGCCAGAGGGGCCAAATAACTTTGAGCCGATAACACCAGGTGAGCTCGCATGTCCATTTGCCACCCCTGTACCACTCTTGCCTCCCCACCATCCACTGTTCCCACGGTACCTTACACAGCTGGGCTACTCGGGAGATGTTTCTGGGGGCCTCGGGGCTCTTGTCTGGGTTGTCTTCACGAAAGAAGTAGTAAATCTTGTCCTGGTGAGGTTCTTCATGCCTTAACGTGGTGGCTTTGACAAACTGAGGGTCTGAAAAGGGAAGCGAGCTGTCAGAAAACCTTGGCCTGAACACACACATTTCATCTGAAAAGCCACCGGTGAGGACCAAACCACTCGCTCTCAGATAAGATGAGGAAAGTCAAACCCCATCTGTGCTCCAGGCAAAGGACAGGTCCGAGCCCACCCTCTACACCCGATCGATGCATTGCACTAACAACCGCGCCTCACACGCCACCTTCCCAGCGGGTTCCCCTTCTTCCCTCTCCTGCCCAACTCCACACCCCCGTTCCCTGGATGGCCAAGTCCCCAGAGCCTGGTGAAGCCTCGGCTGCTTAGCAGCGAAGGAAACCAGTTCTCCCTTCTTGCACAGGGGAGCTATAATCATACACGAAGGTTTCCTTGGTGGAAACAAGCTGCACCGTTGTTTGTGTTTGCTGCGGAAAACCCAGTGATGCTCTTCCTATTAACACACCGCTGCCACAAAGGGCATCCCCAGCAGCAGCAGCGTCCCCCTGAGCATCATTAGTTGGTGTCCCCCAAGGCGGGGAGTTCCGTGTAAGCGTGGGATTGGCCTCGCGGCTCTGGGTCTATCAGGTTTGTTTGCCGGCGCCTTGGTTGCCCCGCTCCACTGCCCTGCACGAACAAGTCCTGTTTTTCCCTGGTGGTGTTTTGATTTGATTTTGTTTTTGGCCTGGGGTTCAATAACGCCCCATTCCCCGGTGTCACTGGGGAGGCGTGGGAGAAGGCAACGTAATAAGCTCAGGGAAATTGGGGGCTGACCTCCTGGAGAGCAGCTCTGTGGAAAGGGACCTGGGAGTCCTGGTGGACAACAGGATGACCATGAGCCAGCAATGTGCCCTGGCGGCCAAGAAGGCGAATGGCATCCTGGGGTGCATCAAGAAGAGTGTGGCCAGCAGGTCGAAGGAGGTCATCCTCCCCCTCTGCTCTGCCCTGGTGAGGCCACATCTGGAATACTGTGTCCAGTTCTGGGCTCCCCAGTTCAAGAAGGACAGGGATCTGCCGGAGAAGGTCCAGCAATGGGCTACAAAGATGGTGAGGGGGTTGGAACATCTCTCATATGAGGAAAGGCTGAAGGACTTGGGTCTCTTTAGTCTAGAGAAAAGAAGATTGAGGGGGGATCTTATTAATACTTACAAATACTTAAAGGGAGGGTGCCAGGGGGATGGGAGCAGTCTTTTTTCAGTGGCGCCCAGTGATAGGACGAGGGGTAATGGGCACAAGCTTGAACATAGGAAGTTCCATCTTAACATAAGGAGGAACTTCTTTACCTTGAGGGTAGTGGAGCACTGGCACAGGCTGCCCAGAGAGGTGGGGGAGTCTCCCACTCTGGAGACATTCCAAACCCGCCTGGACGCCGTCCTGTGCAACCTGTTGTAGGTGACCCTGCTCTGGTGGGGGGGGTTGGACTAGATGATCTCCAGAGGTCCCTTCCAACCCTGACCAGTCTGTGAAATTGCGGAGGGTCCTTTCTCTCTATTCCCCACCCTGTCCCATGCACAGCCCAACATCTTCCTGCCTCAAGGTCTCACCCTGGTCGGGGATTTGGAAAGAATCGCTGCCCGGAGTGGAAGTTGTTCTTCCTGTTTCTACCACCGCATGGCAGCTGATGGGCACCTTTACACAACCATATTTCCTTCCAGCATCTGGCAGGGGACTTGCCACCCATTTCTCTCCATTTCCCCATCTCCTCACCCTGAGCAAGAGGAACTCACTTGATGGTTGTTCTGCCCCGGAAGCAAAGAGGTGAAATTCCCCCAGCTGGCAGCAAGAGAGCTGGAGGGAGCTGCTGGGTCCCTCCTCACTGGCATTGCGGATGGGGACCAGATCAGCGCTCTCCACAGCTCTAGGGGTGACCAAACCCAAGCAAGAAGCTCTGGAGCCACAGCCCAGCTGGGCAGAGAGGATGTACCCCTCCAGGCTGGGCTGTGTACTTATGGCCCACAGTTGCAGACTGACAAAGACTCCAATTTATACTGACAAAGACTCCAATTTATCTACCTGGTGGGTCCCACGCCTTCAGGATCACCCCCATACTCACTCTGCATCACTGTGTCGCTTGTGTAGAGCTCTCCACCACCTCGCACTCGACGGAAACGGGGTATCTTGCCGTTCTGCTGGCTCTTCTTGATGGTGGAGTAGATGTCATGACCTGTGGGATAGGAAGGGCTCACTTGCAGGGGGCTGTTTCCAGAGGAGGCAGAAGGGTTTGTGAGAAGAAAACAAAGAACCGAGAACTCTCTGGGCACATGGACTCACAGAGATGGTGGATACAGGTCAAGAAACCCAGTCCTCACTGCCTAGGACTGAGCAGGCCTGGCAGGACTCCCCAAATCCTTTTCCTTAAAGAGTGGCAGGGACAGATTCTTGCTCTGTTTCCGAGAAGGATCCTCCTCTGTCCCTCTGCCAGGTCCACAGCAGCGGAGTTACTGCAGGACCCTCCTTCCCCGCTGTTTCCATTGTGCACAGAGACTCAACCCCCATGCCCTGGACAGGAACAAACTTCTGCCATGCTCTGTCCTAGAACAATGAGCATTTCAATGAGGCAAAAGCAAGAAGCGCTAAGGCCGATCGCCAACTAGAGCAGACAAAGCCCTTGGAGCAGCCTCGAGGTGCCTCGAGCGAGCCCAGCCTCCCCGCACAGCGCTACGACTGAAAACACGTGAGCAGTCAAGACTTACCGTCAACGACGACGAGGGTATTCGAGTCAGGGGTGAAAGGAGCAATACCTCTCCCATCCCACGAAGTGCTCTCCTTCCTCTGCGTCTGGGGAAAGACAGAAATGAGCCCTAAGAAATGTGGTAAGCGAAGGGGAGCCAGGTGCCCACATCCACCCCCGAGGCAGGAGAAAAGCAGCTCTCTTTGGCTGGCACAGCCCAAGCAAGGGAAGGACGCAGCCCACCTTCGGACAGGTCAGGCAGAGCCACTGCTGCAGGTAGGAGGTGAGGAAAGAGGGGCGACGACAACTGAGCACAGGGGTGGCATGTGTGGACCTCTGCTCGCGTGGGCTGTCCCATGCCGTCACAATAAGCAGCGCAAGGGAACTGGAATTTGGGCATTTCGGAGCACTCTGAGAAGGACGGGGGATCGGGGTACCATTTTACAGATGGAGATAGCACAAAACTAAAGAGCAAATGCTTTGCTCTGGTCCCATCACGAGTGGCCACAACATACCAAGTTCCAGCAGGTGGGAGCGCAGGCACCGGTCCCACACACTAACATCCCATCTCCATACTTCTCCACTAACGTGAGGTAATTTTTATTGTCCTCCTGCAAGAGAAAGAAGAGGAGCGTGAGCGGCTGCGAATGGCAGAGCACAGCCCCGCGGCTCCAAGCCCACTACCAAGCACGTTGCTACATGGCTTCCTAACTGCTTCAACAGGTTGTAAAACCAGAGGAGGAAATTAGGATCATCTCATGTGATCTCCTGCTCCACAGGCACAGGAGGTCTTCACCCAGAGAGAGCACATGAGCAGCATACACAGTTCCATCCCCAGCAGCCCTACAACCCACCTCCTCCAACCCTCACCCATCCAGCTGCTCCTCATATGCCGTTCCACCATAGGTAGGACCTACCAAACTCCCAGGCGTCATGCAGAGTCCTTCATTTTTCACTGGGAAGTCTTCCTAGGATAAAAGAGAAAGACACATGCTTTAATCCCTTCCCTCTAAAAGCCAACCGACACGGGCTCAGCCCCATGCACAACGTGCCAGTCACTCTCCTCACGAGAAGCAAAAGAAGCACATCGGCGAGAAGGTTGTTAAATGCTGCAACGCAGCCCTTTTCCCCACCCTCAGCGTTTGAAAAACCTCGGAGAGGTTGGGTGGATCTCTCAGGCCCTCGAGGCGACGAGAAGTGGGGACGAAGGGCCAGAGCGGCAGGCATGACTAGCAGCCAGCCTGGGCTGCCCTCCAAAGGATTTGGGGAGAGGATTTGGCATCGTGAGGAAATGTGCGTTCAATAGTGGGTGGTGGTGTCCACATGGAACACACGAACCACACTGTGCCTGGGAAGAAGGGAGGTTTTCGGGTCCAAACTTCAGCAACTGACTTGTTTGAGAAGGACAAGAAGGGGTCATGAGAAAGTAAACTGTCCTGAAGGGTTTTCTGCTGTATTAACTCCGTGCTGAGCTGATCCAGAACTTCCCGCTTTTGAGGAAAAGCAGTCTGGGCTCTGAGAATGGAACAGGATGGGAATATAGCTCCTGAGCATCCCTTCTCACGCTAAAGAAAGGGTCCCCTACTGGAAAAATCCTCCCTCTGGGGCAGCAGCGACCTCAGGAGGAACACAGCCTGGGAAGAAGCCACCCCCAACTAGCATAGGAG